TTTATTTCTTACTGTTCTCACCTGAACACTTTTCGGTATATTGTCACTCATGCCGTATAAACACATATTTTAATCCTAAATTACACACTAAGGTAAGGTCTTGGTTTGCTAGTTCGTGGGTAAATTCATTGGGTTATAATATCAACACGGCACACCCGAGGCGGGTACAGGACGCTCCCCAAAACAAAGGCTGAATGTTCATGGCGGGGGTGTATCAACTTCACTCACAACTGTAATGAGGGATCCTCCTCTCACACATTGCACTATTTGAACACAGACATGAGATTCTCTGATCACTGTACCTGTCGTGGGTATATGTCACGTGAGGATACGAGGTGTATTAAGTTCATACCGACGCATACAAGATTATTTCCTTTCAAGTATAGTTTCTGGGTCACTTCCAACACCTCATATAGTTCTGATACATTTATCCTTTTTCCAGATCATTGTTCTCATGTATTTTCATATGATATCTGTGGAAGTTATGTTCGCTACACGCTCACAGACGTAAATAGTATGACCTTCAAACCCTGATCCATACTTAGTCCTACAGTACACTAGTCCGGCTCAACTGGACTTTAACATTCATCTTATGGATACCCTGAGTTCTCCTTAATGCTATGAATACATACAATTAATATGATATAACTGTACCTGGGTACAATACAACACATGGTCTAGTAACATTGAGTAGGTGAGTTATCCTTTAACAGTGTTTCCCGTTTTCTGAGATTCTACAAGCGCGGTGGATTTGAATGTTATATAGCATAATATGAATTAAATGGGGTTTTTAGGAATGACAATGATGTGCGCAGTACATCAACAGTGGTTGGGCACTCCCTCCCCTTCCATTTAACTATAACAGCTGCTTGTGGGGTCTCCCCCCGGTAGTGTCGACGTATACTGAGTATACGTGGATTAAAGTCTCGAGCATCTTCGACTTCAGCGTATAGGGGGAATTGTTGAACTAGGATATGGCAACATTCAGCTGCGTCAGCAGGTGGAGGCAAGAGGACAACCCTGTCAAACCCAACAGATCTGTTTCATAGACCTCAGGAGTCTGACACTTGATCAAATTACGGTTCCTACTTTTTTGGAATTGAATGTTGAGACCGTGTTGTCTGCAGTACTACATCATCCAATTAAACCGTTCCTCGACGGTTTTCAGTGAGTCCTTGGGTAAGTGCAGATTCAGCTTACTTGGCTGGTTGGCAGAGGGGCGGGTGGCGAGGGAAGCTCGCTGCCCTTGGCATTGGTGTTGCCACTCCGGCAAGTGTTTCCCATAGAAACATTACTGTTACTGTCACTATCACTGAGGTCTGACTCTTGTAGGGTGTGGGATGCCCTATGACTACAGTAGCCGTATCAGAAATGTCTGTATCCATGTGTGAGGGGACGCCTCTTCTGGGGCGTTTACGTCGACCCCGCCATCCCATCGCTGTCAACACTTGCCGGCGAAGGGGTAGGTAGAGACTGAGGTGGCCTTTGTGTGACGATTGGGAGGACAGGAGCACCTATGGGTACACGTCTGTCCCCTTAAGTGGTCAGACAGCGTATCATATATAGCGCTTAGGTGTGCGTGGCTCTAGTGAGTGGGGCCTAAAGGTGAGGGTAGGAGGGGTCAGGGGGTGGATTTTTTTTTTTTTTTTTTTTATTGGGCACTCCCTACATCCTTGTGTAAGTGTAAGGTGAAGCGCAGAAGCGTTTACAGCGCCCAACAGGGAAGCACGCTAAGTTCATGCTTGCCTTTATGTCTCATGTGCCGTCGCGGTGGGGGTCAGACGGGTTCGTGGTCGGGGCTTCGGGGGGGCACACAGTGTTATGACTGATCTTATATAAGAATATCCATCCCTTATAGGGAAATTCAGCGGGCTCCTGCATGTATATAGTAATTTGCCGTAAAACATATCCAGAAAGATGTCAAACACATTATTATAAATAACATTAATATGTATTCACCGCCATGAACAGGAATAACTAATCCACAAAACCTGGAGGATATTGACAGTAGGGCGTATTAAACATGAAGGCAATCTACAAAAATAGTTATAATTCGTAATCCAGCATTACAGAGTATTGCAAAGTCATCCGGAAGTAAGATATGTTATGTTGAAAACATTTTGATTCAGCATCTCTTGAGTTACTCGACGAGACGTGAGGTGCACACTGCACCCTGGAACGAGGAGAATATTTTAAAACTATTTGATATAATTTTACTCATTACATGGTCCAGCAACGTTGATAATTTACATGCTTTTTCGTTTATATCTGCTCTCATGGATTAATTGATGTAGTATGTGCAGGTAGTAGGTAGTAGGCAGCTATCAAACAGGGAGGTATTACCACCTGGGAAGATATTGGAAGCATAATGTGTTGTCTAATGGTAGACACTGCTGCCATATGGCATCACGAAAATTGTGACCAAGTCCCAGGTTACTCATCTAACTTTCTGCCTAATTTAAACACAATTGCAGGGTCTCAATTGTTTCTCTTACTATTGACAACAAAACATACGTAAAGTATATCGTTTCTCACTCATGATCTTTTTTATTGTTATATTTAAATTTTATTTTAATTTTGTATTTATTATTATTATTACAATAATTATTATTATTATTATTATTATTATTATTATTATTATTATTATTATTATTATATTTAAGAACAGAGGGGGACTGAGTTTTCCTTCACTAGATGTTATTAAAATTTATCAAAGTTGTGAAAACATTTTCAGGAACAATGTCACTTCTCTGACTTCTAACCCCTATAACAAAATAGTTTCCTGCAATAAGCAAAAAAAATTTCAGTCTTTGTTAATTAATCATTCAAATAAAAAATTTTTTAGAGCTTCTTCCTCACATGGCTGACACAAACCCATTAAGCAATCATCTTTCTTTATTGATCAAAGCATCTCTGTGAAATCTACCTTAAAGTAAGGCGTTCCTATGCAGGAAAACAATACACGATTAATCTACACAAACAGAACAAAATCAAAAGTCGCCAAACCCATAATAAGTTGGTTTTGTTCAGTGGATTGTAGGTAATGTATGCAGAGTGCTTACTGTATGTCAAGAAAAACAGTGTATGATCCTATTATTTCATAAATTGTGTATAATTTAGTCTTTAATTTAAGGTTCCTCATTAAAGATATAATTGTATTACAAAACTGACTTCATTTTATTTGCCAGTAACGAAAGGTGAAGAATTAAAGGTAAGTGGCTTGTACTGCCGCTCACACCATAACCCCTACCAGTATGGCGGCCACCAGCCCATGCTGGCTTCACTCCCCACGGGCCGCGCGGGCCGTCTCCACCTATATTAAACCTCCTTCGTAGCACTGGCAAGCAGTGATAAGTTGAAAAGGCAACTGAGAGAAGGGTATTACAGTTTGGGGGTGAATTACACGACCCTGCGTTTTTTCTCTTTTTCTTTTTACGGGGAATAGCCCACCGGGGCACTGGTCATTGAACCGCAACAGGGCCTAGGGGGCGAAAAAATAAAAGTAAAAATAAATTAAAAATAGAAAAGAGAACGATTATATTAATCTACACCACGAAGATGCGGGAAAACCAGCTTTTTGAAGTGAACATATGATCATAAGAATTAAGGAAACTGCAGCGGGCCTATTGACCCATACTGGGCAGTCCCGTTCACACCCAACCCCCATCGCTCATATATCCATCTAACCTATGTTTGAAGGTATCCAGCTTATTAGAGTTAATGATGATGTTTGGTAACTTGTTCCACTCATCCACTGCTCTTTTTCCAAACCATTGTTTACCTATCTCGCGCCTAAATCTAAACTTGTCTAATTTTAAACCATTGTTAAGAGTTCGCTCTTGGTTGGATAGTTTGAGTACCTTCGTTATATCACTTTTGTTTAGCCTTGACTTCCATTTATACACCTCGATCATATCGCCCCTCACTCTACATGCTTTAGCCTGTCTCTGTTCTCAAGGTTCCTAATGCCCGGGAATAGTCTTGTCTTCTCCTCTGAATTATTTCAAGGGATTCTATATCCATTCTTTAGTAAGGTGACCAGAACTGAACTCCGTAATCAAAGTGAGTGAGGTCTCACAAGCGCAATATATAGTTTTAGGATAACCTTATGTCTACCAGGCTATTTACACTGTATTTACACCTAACTTAATCTACCTTAACTTATCCTAACCTAACCTAACCTAACCCAACCTAAAATAACCTAGGTTAAGTTAGGTTGGGTTAATAGACGTTACAATGTAAATATCTCGGTAGACCAACTCCAGCTCGGTAGACCGCATACTATAAAGCGCCGAACACCCACGTCAACCCCGATAACCGGTGTGACATTTGCGCACATGACATATACTCACAAAATTAATGGAAAGAAACACAAATGCTAAAAAATATGTATATTATTTGCAAATCACAATTAAAAAAAAACAGTGTACAAATTATGTGCTAAAATTGTTATTATATGTTTTATAATCTTTATGGCAATTCATAATGTATAAAAATGTCAAAATATATCAAAATTATAACTACTCCAATCGGATGCAGTGCCCTGTTGCTGCTAGGTTAGGTTAGGTTAGGTTTGTATACTGGCTTTTATAAATTATAATTTGGAAATAAATTATATAAAAAATATGTGAGCATTTGTCTTCCTTTCTATTAATGTCTTGTGAGCAGATGTCATTGAACCCCCATAACCCGTCACTCACTTACTGACCCCTGTGACCCCCAGACCAACACGGTACCCTGATTATTTAACCTTCATATTAAACATCCTAACGTTAACCTAACCTAACCTTATCTAACATAACATTAACCATATATATATATATATATATATATATATATATATATATATATATATATATATATATATATATATATATATATATATATATATATATATATATATATATAAACTAACCAAACCTAACCCCCAGGCAGTATTAGGTTCGTTAATTAAGTGAAATAAGTTTATGATTTGATGAATATTTACATTTGTTTTCTAGGAATGCAGGAGAATGGTGTGGTGAGGATCTCATACAACGATGAATTGAAAAAGATGAATGAAAATAACACACTGGAATTGATAAACGGAAACGTGACGATCGAAGCTGAAGGTGTTAGTGTAAGTATGTGTTGGTGTCACCGGCAGACGGCTTTGAGTTAAATACTATTCAGTAAGACCATCCTTCATGTTTAGTGATTCAACATGTGTATCGACAGTACAGGTAAACAATTCAGCAAATATACAAAAAATGTACCTAAACAGAACGGATATATATACAATGGTTGATAGTACAGAAGTTCGACCGAGGATAGCCAAACGCTATTCTGTAGTGACTGCACATTACGCCAATCCGATCCCTAAAAGAAGTCAAAGTATAATAACCTAATCAGATGTATGTCTCTTATTTCTTCCAGCTGGGGTGTGACTGTAATCTCCGGTGGCTTTTGGGGAAAAACGACGCGGAAATGTACTTGAACAACGTTGTGAAGGTGGGCACAGACTGCCCACAGTCCACTAACTACACCAGAAATATCCTAAACCAGTTTTGTGGGTAATAGGGGGTGAAGGAAGCGGTGTCCCACCCTTCCCCTACTATTCTCTCTCACTCTCCTCTCTCCTTTCCCCCCTTTTCCCTCTCGTTCTCCTCTCCTCTCTCCTTCCCCCACCCCTCTCTCTTCTTTCCCCTTTCCTACCACCACTCTCCACCTTCCCTCTCTCTTTCCCCCTCGTCCCCTCTCCCCTCTCCTCCCCCCTTCTCCCCCCTCTAGTTTGAAGCAACTCTATGACTGCCTGTTCTGATCATCAAGAAATAGCCAGGTTTTTTCTCTCTTCCTTAATACATATGACATAGAGAGAGATATGAAAAATGAATACACTGAAAAGAATGTAGAGAAGAGTGAAATAGATAAAGGCAGAGAAAGGTTCAAAGATAGCCGTCGATATCTGACAGATAATTATATTCGTTGGTCAAGGGCAAGATAATTTGTGTGTGTGCGTATTTATTGTACCGGATATATGGGGAAATGAAGGCTCACTTAACAAGCGAGTAACTCTCATTTTGGATTATAGTTCTTGTTATAGGGGCCAAAAATAGACGATTATTGGTCGATAGGTCGGGTGGTCATATATATATATATATATATATATATATATATATATATATATATATATATATATATATATATATATATATATATATATATATAATCCAAAATGAAAGTTACTCGCTTGTTAAGTGAGCCCTCATTTCCCCATGAAAACCCTTTTTGTATTATTTCAGAATCACCTAACTTGTATTTATCATTGAAAAGAACAAGTTGTAGCTAATTTGACCATGTAACATTGCAGTTTACTTTACAACGAATATCTGATCATTTTGTACGAACTTATAAATAAATAAGTTCATGAAGGAGCCAGCAGAAGTCTTGAGACGATATAAACAAATATTTTGACAGCATGAATCTTGTTTACCATTCCTGGTTGTGCATTAAGGAGCATCTAGCTGGGTTACTGGATGAAGATGGCGGGAAACTGTACAGAGACTGTAACGTAACTATATGCAGTGCAATAGCTGTGTTATTTTCTTCCCAGTGGGTAAAAAGATCTGACCTCTGCTTGTTTGAGAACCTGGATGTAACGGGGGGGGGGCGAGTTCAACAAACAAGCTGCCACCAATGTAACGACGGCAGGTTTTCTCTCTCTACTCATAACTCTTTCTTATCTTTTACTCTTACTTCTCTTGTCTTAGTTCTTTAATTCAATTGTTCATTTTACTTACTTCAATGGTTACTGCATAACCTTAGTTCTTTTTGGAAGCATGGACGAGGGTCTAGGCACATGGGCATTGTAATTTTGATATCAAGTCACTTGGACGGAAATAACGGTGAACTACTGTGGGAGAAATGAATACTCCTAAAATACTCAAAGAACAGGTTTATTAATATGATATCAAGTGGGGAAAAATATATCATTCACATATAACTACCAGGCTCAACTCCTGGGCTTATTGCAGACTCAGTATTTTCTTATTTTTACTCAACAGCAATTACTCAGATCCTGTACTCTTACTTTTCACAACCTTACTGGTGTTACATTACATTACATAGCAGGACCAGTTCCTTGGCCCTACTCACAATACATAGTTACATGGCAACTCCTTGCAGATTACTTTACTGCCACTCCAAGTGGGTACTTCTACTTCACCCACATCTTCTAGTGGTACGTTTCATTACAGTTACATAGCAGGACCAGTTATAAGACAACCTTACTTAAGATACTTCACAGAGTGTTGGTAGTGCATAGGAGATGCACTCACACACAACACGTTAATACTGATTCCAACAAATACATGGGTCCACTACCCAACATGGGGTAATTATTAACAAACACATACAACCACAGTGGACCATAACTCCAAGGCATGTCCCAGGGTATAGCACTGGTGCCTCTAACAACTGACGACTGCTGTTGTGGTCGGTTGTACTCCGACACGTGGTGAGCGTCTGGGGTCCTGCCCCACGATGTTGATTTGTAGTAAGTAAATCATGTCGAATCACCGACATCGATGCATATATTGATCCCTGCTGGTTACCCACCGGCTCAGCAGCCGATGGGGTGTTCAAATAAGCCCACCCTGGAATCTAGGGACAAACAGGAGAGGACGTGATGGAGGAAGACTTGGGAAGCATGATGACAACACAAACAAATCTTTCGTCTCGCAACGTCAGACGACATTTACTTTATATTACTTCTCACACTGGGTGAATGACAATTCCACTGTTACAACATGAACACTGACAATACACTACAATGACTGAATCAAACTGAATGGCGAGGGAACACTGCTACATACATACCTGGGGACAAACAGGAGAGGACGTGACGGAGGACATCTCTCTTCCCGCTCCCCCGTGGTTATATACCCCTGAGTTGCCAGCAATCGCTACTCACGCAATGACAGAGATTACAACAACCCAACTGTTACTCATTCAAAGATGACCCTCAGTTGACAAAGGTCTGGAGAATTACTTGAGTTGATTTACACAGACTAATTCAAGATTGAACTGGCCAGCAGAAGTGGAAAAAATGTATTGACAACTGTGTTCGAAGGAGGGACTTACTGGGAGGGATCATGAGTATAAACGTCCATGGGGAAAAACAAGTCTCTTCTTAGGAATAGCTAACCCACTCATGTTTTGCGTTCGTGGAGTATAATAAGAATCAGTAGTTAAAACAGACTAGCAGTAAAAGTGACCATGACATGGACATTATGCTTTGGGTTGCATAGAAAGTATCTTGTATTGGAAATAATTTACTATTATTCCTTATAAAATTATTATATTGATGTATGGAATATAAGATATTATGGTGTTCAGCTAGGATCTAAGTCTGATATAGAAGATATAATGCAGTACAGCACTATGACAGTGGATGGTAGAACGTATCATAGATGAAATGTGTTGGTTATGAATTTATAAATACAGTATTCTAATTGCTACAACTCTACAGTGTTCACCTCTGCACTGATTTAACTGTGCATATTACATATATAACATAATTCAAACCAATACCTATTCAACTAGAATACTAGATAAATATTGGCTGATGTTATTGTATAATGTATTACTATGCTCCAACAACTACCAGTGTGGTCTTTGAATATGTATTCTTAGTATAGTCATAAAAAAATATTGACTGGTTGAAAATTATGCATAATTTTTCTTTTTAGATATTAAAAACCTTTATATAAAGCAAAGGTGCTTGTTACACCGCTCGGCCACCTCCAACCGAGTCCTCTTGGTTTAAATCCTTGGTATACCTATCCATGTTATAATAAAGTGTGCTTTAGCTAAACTGTTGCAACTTGCACATGCCTTTTCAATGCCTTTTGGAGAGTTTTCTTGGAACTATTGTGTACCTAGATGACATTTTCCTGTAACAAACTATCATAAAAGTCAAGGAAATGACAAATATAATGGCAGTTATGATGAAACAAGGTAGGATACTTCGGAAGTTAATTAAAAATAAAGAGAATCCTGTAATGCTGGAAACTGTGTTTCATTAATGTAAGATAGAAGTTAAAGCTTATCAGAGACAATGTGAAGGCTGCTGATTTAATATTCAGTAAAACTGGTATGGGCACCAGTTCAGAAGTAATGTTTGATACAAATGCAAAATGATGACGAGTAGGCAAGGTTGTGATTTCATTACTGCTGAGCTCACAATTGTCTGGTGCTATTTGATAGCCTTCTACTCCTAAATGTTTACCTACACCCTGACATATAGTCAGTGGGCCAACAAGGGTTAGACTCGTTAGAGGAACCACCAATAATGACTAAAGTTATCATATATCACTGGAAAGATAAAAACCTCTAGATTCCAAATATGTATGATAGAAGTGCATATGGCTTAGGTTTAGTAGTTAAAATTTATGTTAAACAGGGGTACCATATATTGCCAACTCGACATTGTTAAGTCACACTCACAACTGCACACTACGTAATTAGGTCTCATTCTTCTTTAGAGTGTTACATATCTCCAGTCTGTCAGTCTACATGCATTAGTAGAATGCATAACCATAGTTTTGTAAGTGTGGTCTTGGTGATTTTCAAAATTGAAACTGCTCATAATGCACTCATGTAGAGGTAACTTACATAATGATAAGTATCATGTATGAATCTAAGTCATAACTAAAATTCATAGGAAGAATCATGTTATATTTTATAATAACCAATTATATGCACTTTACATGAGCACAGCAAAAACAAGAAAATCAACACAATCAATTTACGCCCCAGAATTGTGCTTATTACCTTACTACAAATATATGTAAACACTTGCATCCTAATGTGTTGCATTCGCAAACACTGTAATCACCAAAACTTGCTGAACGTAAAATAGTATTTGTCAAAAATAATAAAAACTGTTTGATATAAAATTCTAGCCTTGCTAGATGATAAATCAAGCATAAGTCAAGATGTAACATTTTGATAAGAATGACTCGTAACTGCCAGTCACTGCTCTGATATAACAACATACATGTACCACTATTCTTAACTGCATATTCATAGGTTATGGCTATCAAAGAATGCTTAGAAATGGTTTCATTTGCACTCACACTTGCAAAGAGGAAAGTCTGCATGCTTAATGTTTGCTTTCATAAGTGATGCAACTGAGTATCTAGTAAAGCACAAGCACTATAAACTACATGCAGTCAATTAATCTATACACTGCCACACACATCTTGCACTCACGAACAGTCCAAAAGTGACATACAACTAATTAAGCTAATATTCTGCACTGTAATCATCAGGCTCATCAATCATTGCCTCTTCTTCTGTTCTGTGGGAGCCTTGTTAAAACATGTTTTCAGTCTGCACATTTCACTACAGCGCAGGCCATGTGCAATACATTGACAGTCAGGTACTTTACACGCCTGTACACACTTGCAAGCCAGCAGTTCCAGCACAGCAAGAGGTACACACTGACCATCCATCCAGTCAATCGTAATGTTCTCATGTGTACATTTCAATTCATCCACCAGTTCAACTTCTTCTGCTGTTATTTTTACACAATCTTCCTCACATGTATCATACACGATTGTATTGATTTCTGCAAGTTTCCTCCTGTACTTACTGTAGCTTCTTTCCACTGAGAAACGAGAAATGCTAT